CGGGAGGCCCCAGGGGGCTCCGGGGGGCCCTGGATGGCCCTGTGCCTGGGGGGCCCCAGGGGGTGCGGGGCCCGCCTCGACACCGCGAACGGGCTCGGCTCGGCACCGGGCGGGGTCCGCAGGCCTAGAGCCGTGGTCGCTGTGGTCGTGGTCGTGGTGGTGGTTGTGGTGGTGGTGGTGGTGGTCGTCTTCGTCGTCGTCGTCGTCGTCGTCGTCGTCCTCGTCGTCGCTCTCCGGTTCGGCCCGCGCGCTAGCCAGGCTTGGCCAGACGAGGAGTCCACATGGGCTGGAGGGAGGAGGAGGGAGGAGCCCCGGGGGGGGCCCCAACCCGTCCCGGTGGGGTGCTCGGGGTGGCCCAGGAGGGCCAGGGGCCTTGGGGGCCCGGAGCCCAGGGCCCAGGGGGCCCTTAGGGGCCCCGGCCCAGGCCCCAAGCGCGAGCATTCTCGGCACCCCAGGGGTCTCGACTCGCCCCAGGGGGCGGATCGTCGTCGTCGTCGTCGTCGTCGTCGTCGTCGTCGTCGTCGTCGTCGTCGTGGTCGTGGTCGTGGTCGTGGTCGTGGTCGTGGTCGTGGTCGTGGTCGTGGTCGTGGTCGTGGTCGTGGTGGTGGTCGTGCTGGTCGTGGTGGTGGTCGTGGTCGTCGTCGTGGTCGTCGTCGTGGTCGTCGTCGTCGTCGTCGTCGTCGTCGTCGTCGTCGTCGGGCCTCTCGCGTTGGGGCTCTCGCGTGCCAGCCGCATTATGCATCACATTTTACCTTATTAATGTCCCGCCCGCCCGTGAAGGCCGGCCCTCTCGACCAGGCCCTGTCGCTGGGGCTCTCGCGTGCCAGCCAGACTAACTCCGTATTTCACTGTCCCGCCCGACCGACCCGACCCGCCCGTGAGGGCCTGGCCCGCTCGAGCGGGCCCAGCCGTTCGGCCTCGCGCGTGCCAGCCGGACGGTGTGGCACCCTTTACGCAATTCTTCCATGTCCCGCCTCGCCCGACCCGACCCGCCCGTGAGGTTGGCTGCCTCTCTCGCCCCGAGGGGGAGCTAACCTGCTCCGGGGCCCCGACCCGCCCAGGGAGGGCTCGAGCCCCAGGGGGCCCTGGGGCCCATCTGCCCTGAGGGAGCCTGGGGGCCCTGAGGGGGGAGTGCGGCCGGGTCCGCTTCGTCACCGCGACGAACGGGGTCAGCTCCGTAAGCTGGTGCGGCTCGGCACTGGGCGGGGTCCGCGGGCCTGGTCGCTGTCGTCGTCGCCCTCCTGTTCGGCTGGCCCGCGCGCCGTCCAGGCTTGGCCAGACGAGTAAAACTCTGGGGCCCCTAGGCCCATCATCGCTAGGCCTATCCCTAGGGCCTGCCCCTAAGCCTAGGCCTGTCTATAGGGCCTACCCCTCGGCTTACCCCAGGCCTACCTCTAGGGCCTACCCCTCGGGCCTACCCCCAGGCCTACCCCGGGCCTACCCCTAGGCCTACCCTAGGCCTACCCCAAGGACCCTATTGTAGGGTTTCCCTAGGCTATCCTAGGGCCTAGGGTAGGGCCTGGGGTAGCCTAATCCATCCGAGTTCTATCCCATAAAGGTGGGTCACCCACGAAGGCCCGCACAGGGCTCTTTTCCCCATGCAAGTCGTAGTCGATCAGAGTGAGGGGGCTGAACCGAACGGTCATTCACTGTCCCTGGGTGCGTGGCTGAAGTGGAATTCCGCGATGCGGATTGTTGTTGTTGTTGTTGTTGTTGTTGTTGTTGTTGTTGTTGTTGTTGTTGTTGTTGTTGTTGTTGAACTCTCATTCTTGAAGAATAATTTTTGTTGATCCCCCCCCACCAGTGCACATTGTTTTTTTCGATTGAAGTGCCACCCCCGGGGCTCGCACCTTGTTTTTTCTCAAGGAAAGTCTTCCTGCTCAAACTGTGCCCCTGCCCCCCGGGCTACAACAACAACGGCTCCCGCCTGAGACTTCTTCTTCGATTTTTACTCAGGACCCCCGCTCCCGCCTGAGACTTCCGCGCAATTTACTCAGGAAAGGCGCTCACATCTGAGACTTCCTCGCAATGTAATCAAGACCCCCGCTCCCGCCTGAGACTTCCGTGCAATTTACGTGGGAACGGCGCTCCCGCCTGAGACTTCTTCGAATTTTACTCAGGACCCCCGCTCCTGCCTGACATTTCCACGCAATTGACTCAGGAACGGCGCTCCCGCCTGAGACTTCCTCGCAATTTAGTGAGGACCCCCGCTCCCGCCTGAGACTTCCGTGCAATTTGCTCAGGAACGGCGCTCCCGCTTGAGACTTCCTCGCAACTTAGTCAGGGCCCCCGCTCCCGCCCGAGATTTCCTCACAATGTACTCAGGACTGCGCTCTCGCGTGCGACGTCCTCACAAATTATTCTGGAATTGCGTTTCGGCGCTCAGGAACCACGCACGCGCCAAGGACGCCTTCACAACGTGGTATCTTCCCTCTTCCTTCGTCCTTCCCCCTCCCCTTCCTCCCACTCTCCCTCGTTCTTCCCCTCCTCCTCTTGCAGGGCCCGCGCCAATTCCAATGGCGGGCAGAGAGATGTACGCCCCCGAAGGATTGTCCGCCCGTTCCGGTTTGCCCGTACGTCTAAGCCCGCCGGCCCCAGCAAAGAGAAATAATCCCCCCGAAAGGGGTGTGATCGAAGACGAAGAGGGCGGGTTTCGAGGGTGTAGGGTATACGTGTTGAATGACTCGCGGGCAAGTAAGAGCGCACAGCCTAAACCCGCGACCCACCCGCGACCCACCCGCGACCCACCCGCGACCCACCCGCGACCCACCCCGCGACCCACCCGCGCCCGCGACCCACCCGCGACCCACCCCGCGACCCACCCGCGACCCACCCGCGACCCACCCGCGACCCACCCGCGACCCACCCGCGACCCACCCCGCGACCCACCCAAAATTTTCGGCGCCTGCGGCGGGTTTCTTATGCATTCGTTCCAGGTGGAGAAGCTGCGACCCACCCGCGACCCAAATCGCGTTCAGTGTACAAATCAAAATTTTCGTCGCCTGCGGCGGGCTGTTTTTGAATTCCCTCCAGGTGGAAGTGGAGAGCCCGCGACCCACCCGCGACCAAACTACGTTCACTGAACAAGCCAAAACTTCGGCGCCCGCGGCGGGTTTCTTTTGCATCGGCGACCCACCCGCGACCCAAACTACGTTCACTGAACAAGCCAAAACTTCGGCGCCCGCGGCGGGTTTCTTTTGCATTGGCGACCCATCCGCGACCCACCAGCGACCCACCCCGAGACCCACCCGCGACCCACCCCGCGACCCACCCGCGACCCACCCGCGACCCACCCGCGACCCACCGCGACCCACCCGCGACCCACCCCGCGACCCACCCAAAATTTTCGGCGCCTGCGGCGGGTTTCTTATGCATTCATTCCAGGTGGAGAACCTGCGACCCACCCGCGACCCAAACCGCGTTCAGTGTACAAATCAACATTTTCAGCGCCTGCTGCGGGCTGTTTCGACGCCCGCGTCGCCCGCGCCCGCCCCCTCACTCTTATCCGCAATTGCGGGGTGCTACGATAGTGGACGTTACCGGGGGACAGTAGCGTCATGATTCGCCCGCGCGCGCCATGTCAGAGTGCATCGGTGTGGGTAGCCTGCTAGGTGTAACTGGGGCGTAGACTCAAGTATTAAACACTCCCGCTTGGCGTGGTTGGCATTTCCGCGTAAGTCAATCCAGCTCGTGAATGGGTTACAGTGTAGAATTCTCGCGCTGGATTTCGGGCGCAGGGATCCAATCAGTGATCACTCAGGGTGTGTACGCCATGCATCGGCATTGACACCCAAGCACAGGCGAGAACGGCAGGCTGTTTTGTTTCAACACATTTTGTAAGCGAGCAAGGCATCCACGAGCCAGCTCGACACAATATATCGCGGCCTTGAAGGAGGAATAGTGATGATGAGGATGAGTAGGATAATCATTATATTTGGGGAGTATGAGGAACATGAAGAACAGGAGGCGCGAGGCAGTGGGCCGTAGCGGCGGAGGGCTATGTTGATGTAGCGGCACTCATCGCATTGGTTCTCTCGCTCGCTGTAGTGTTCATCGAGTCTGTGGTGTTTGCGGGAATTTTGGTGCCCTCATGCGTAGGCATTGTGGTGCTCACAAGCGTTGTGTTGTAATGCGCGCTGTGTTTTCCGCTGGACGCGTTTTGCTTGCACCATCTGTGGTTTGCCCAGCCATGGCAGTGCTCGTGGCCAGTGCGGTATTTGTAGGCATTGTGACGTTCCAGGGCGCTTGTGCTCAAATGCGCACAGAAAGTGTAGTGTGTGCCTGGCGCGTGGCGTCTGGGTATGGGCAAGTTGCGCCACCTGCAGCTGGCACATTGATCCAGTATGCAACAGTCGTTCCGCGCAGTGGCAGCAACTCACGGTTACGAGGGTATTCGCCGATATCGTTTCAACAATTCCATCAACAACAAGATCACCACCATAGGACTTAAACCAAACCAGATGATACAAGACAGGGGAATGCGGAATAACAACGGAGGATCGCACGGCTGTGTGTTGCACAGGCGAATGGAGGGTGGGAAAAAAGAGGGAGGAGGTCAGGGCGGTTCATCGCTTGGCCACGATGGTGCTTCCAGGCACTTATGCGCAACACCAGCGCAGCGCTTACAAACGTCTGGGGTGCTCACACGCTCTGTGGTGCTCACCATTTCTGTGGTGTTTTCCATGCGCATTTTTGCTGATAAGGGCTCTGTGTCCATAGGAAGTGTGGTGCTCAAAATAATAAACGCCACAGCCACAACAGTCGCAATGCCCGCATGCTTTGTAGTGCTCATAGACGTTGTGGTGCTCGAAGACATTACAGCGTTCACAGGCATGGTGCTCCTGTGACACGTGGACAGTATACTCAGACTGACGCATTTGGGCACTGACTGATACGGTTCATGTTGGTCGTTTTGTTTACCGTGCAGTTGCGGATCGCAACGTTACGGTGGCGGGGCTGTCTCAGCAAAAGTGCGTTTCCGTTGGACAAAATTGCTCCAGTCCCTCGAAGACAGCATCGCCTTCGGCACCAAGGACATGGAGGCGGCGAAGACGTCGATGGCCAAGGCTGGAGAATCAAAGTCTGCGGCGGAGGGTTCGCTGGCTGACGTGTCGAAGGACCTCGCAGAGGACAAGGCGATGCTCGAGGACGTCAACAAAGACTGCGCCACGTACGTGGAGGAGTACGAGGCCTCGGCGAAGAGCAGGGCAGAAGAGCTCGCAGTGGTCAGGAAGGCCAAAGCGATCATCGAAGAGACCACCGGAGGCGCCGCGGCCCTCGCCCTGTCGCAGACCTCGGCGCCGTCCTTCCTGCAGGTGGTCCGTGCTCGCCGCTCCGCTCACGACTCCGCGAGTGCCGTCCGCTTCGTGCGCGAGCTGGCGCGCAAGAGGAAGTCCCCTGCGCTGGCGCAGCTTGTCTCGCGCTTGGCCTCGGCGGTGCGCCTGGGCGCGCGCGACGGCGAGGACCCGTTCGAGAAGGTCCGCGGGCTGATCACGGAGATGATCGCGAAGCTGGAGAAGGATTCCACCCAGGACGCCGAGCAGAAGGCGTATTGCGACAAGGAGATGAAGGACGCGGAGGCGAAGAAGGCGGAGAAGGGTGACGCGGTGGGGACACTGTCCACCAAGATCGACCAGATGGCCGCCAACTCCGCCAAGCTGAAGGACAGCGTCGCCACTCTCGAGAGCGAGCTGGCCGAGTTGGCAGCGACGCAGTCCGCGATGGACAAGATGCGCAAGGAGGAGAGCGAGCTGTTCGCAGAGCAGGAGAAGTCCCTCAAGGACGGCATCAGCGGCGTTGAGGCCGCCCTGAAGATTCTCAAGGAACTCGAGAAAGAAACAGTTGCACAAACATGCGCTTTCGGAGTTCCGCGCCGTTTTCTTGGATCGGTGCTGGGCCCCCCCAGCGGCGCCTTAGGCGCCGCCCCTGGCGCGCTCCGCGTCAGCGCAGATCCAAGAACTCCACGCGGACTTCCGAAAGATACTTTCAAAGTCCTTCTCTTCTTCTAGGAGTACTACGCAACAGAAGAAAAGGCCCACGACGCTAAGGACGGTGCGGCCGGCGGCATCATTGCCATGCTTGAGGTGTGCCTCTCCGACTTCACCAAAGGCCTCGCCGATATCACTGCCACGGAGGACAGCGCGCAGTCTGACTACGAAAAAACCACCCAGGACAACAAGGTGGCGAAGGTCGCGAAGGAGCAGTCGGTGAAGTACGAGACCAAGGAGGCCGCGGAGCTGGACAAGGCCATCTCTGAGGCCGCGGCGGAGCGGGCCACCACGCAGTCCGAGCTGGATGCCGTGCTCGAGTACCTCGAGAAGCTCAAGGACATGTGCATCGCCAAGCCCGAGACGTACGCGGACAGGGCCGACCGCAGGGCTGCAGAGATAGAGGGGCTCAAGCAAGCCTTGGAGATCCTCGGCTGAGCGCAGAGCACCCCTCCTGCTCCTTGCTGTAGAGGACAGTGAGAAGGATTGCTAGTGCTGGTGAGACGCCCTTTCCTTGTATTCGCTTCGCGGAACGAGGTGTATCCTCAGGATCTTCTCTGAAGTGCTGGTCGAACTCTGACCCCCATCCCCGGCCTCGAGATTCTGCAATGACCCCGGCCCGTCTCTGTCAACCGTGAGTGAAGAATTTGTGCATATATTCTTGACGCTTCGCGTGCCCCCGCCATCCCATCCAGGAACGGTGCCCAGGCCAGTTGCCTTGATCAGGGAAGTGGTGGCGCACGCGGTGGAACACCAAGAAATGGCAGCCATAAAGGCTTTCGCGGCTCTTCCGGTCGAGAAGATGCCTGACACATTTTGGAACCATCGTAAAGTTACGGATGCAATTCTTGGGAGGTTATTTTCAGCAATTGCGCTTGTATTTCCGTGGTCGAAAACTGGCCTAATCCGGTATGCTCCCGGCCACATCCAGCTTAATCCCGTAGAATCGGGCTTAATCCTGTGCTTAATCTTGGGATTCTTTTACTCTGGGCTATTCTGGCTCAGTGGCCGCTCAACGTGGCTCAACCGCTGTGAATCGTTTCTGCGAGTGCCTCCCAGGAGTTGCCTCCTGGTCAGGAGCGAAACGTCGAGAAAGCAAGACACGTGTGGGCGCACAGTGTTTTTGAGTGGCCGTGGTCTTTTGGGGGGCGGCTCCGCATACCCGTGGAGCCCTCTTGGGGCCATGTTTGCGCCTCTCGGATTGCATATCGGAGGTTATGCAGAGCGAACCTGGACCATCTTGGAGGCCATCTCAAGGTGTCCGGAGCCTTCTTCGAACCGTCTTGGTGCAAATGCCTTTCAAGGATGCTCCCGAAACGCACGCATTTTTGGTTTTGCTAGCGTCGCTCCGCTGGAGTTGGAAGTTGCCCCTGGGGGCCCCTGTTGGGGGCGTTCTCGGTGCGCTCTTGGGCGGTCCCGGGGCTCTCTGTGGCGATATTGCGGCCATCCTGGGGCCTCGGGGGCCCCTCTGAAGCGAAAGAGCAAGAAGGCACACACAGTTTGGTTTGTTTTGTGTTGTTCTGTTTTTGTTGAACATAGAATTTATATTTCCATTGATTATGGATAGGAATTGGCTACTCGGGGGCGGCCTTGGGAGGCTCCGTGGCCACTTTGAGCCGCTGCCACCGAGACTCAGAGTCTGAGTCTAGCCCACGCTCAGGGGCACTGGTTGGTCATCGCGTGGGGAGATCTGCTCATCAGTGGCGTCAGTCGGCCAGACTGGCACCTTCCCCAGGCTCCGATTTCAGTCGTGCTCTGCAGGGGGCGGGCGCTGTCTGACCCCGGCAATTCCATTTTCGGTCCCCTTTCGAAGACAGTGCAGGCTCACTCCAGGAGAGAAGGGGCAGCGATCGAACTGGCAGTGTTGAAAGACAGTCTTTCCGCCATTGGGTCTCAGATTCGTTGGGTGCCACGCTGCCGCGTGGTAGCTGACTCTCTCACCAGAGCTGGTCTGGCGGAAGGACCCGACGGTCCTTCTGATCTTTCCAGCCGCGGTTCCATCGTTTTTGCCGGGGAGGCGGGGCGCATGAGTGGACGAGCTTTGAACAGCGATTTCAAGAGCAGATCCCGCGCCTTCCCCCGACACAGTCCCTGGAGCAGTTGGGAGACGGCTACGGAATACGGGGACAGGCTGGGCTAGGCGGATTGGATGCGGGGAGGGAAGATGGGTCGGACGGCTGTCGGACCCACTGACAGTAGTGCCGTTGCGGTTGTTCTCCTCTTCTCTTCCTCCCCCATTGCACATCTCAGAAATGACCATCGCCTCTTGCTTAGTTTAGTGTTTCCCCGCTGAGCGGCGGGTTCCCATGCTGTGATCGAGTATACCTTAAGGCACCTCCCAGGGGAAGTCAGTGCCCGTCCTGTGAGACAATGCCATCACCATGCCTTCTCATATCGATGTGAGAGCAACTCTTTTACCGAAATCGTGGACGGATTGGTTTTGCCAAACAATGTGTGGGTGGAAGGGTGGGATGGTTGCTCGAGCACTGGACGGTGGGATGGTGGGTGGGTGGGAGGGTGGGAGGGTGGATGTTCTTCATACCCAGCTGTGCACCACATACAACTATGTTGGATGCTTAGGATTCCGTGCGCGCGTTGCACTACTTGCACATCTTGCATACCATATGTTGCACGACATGCTTCGTCCCGTATTTATGTATCGAGTTGCCTCCGGCAGATTTCGCCGCCTCGCCTTGGTCGTGGATGCATGCTGGGTGGGGGGACTGACGGGCCTCTTGTGACCTCTCGAAGGCCTCTAGGGGGCATCCTTGGGCCTGCCGGGGCCCTGGGGGGCCTTAAGGCCACTTCGGGGGCCTGCTGACGTTGTGGGTAGTCATCCAGGGGCGGAGGGTTCGGAATGTCGGTTCGCCCCCCCTCATTCTGGAGCCATTCGGGTTGTCTTGGCGCCTCTTGGACCATTTTGGGCCCCTTTTTGGGGCATCTTGGGGCCCTATTTGGGGGCTATCGGGCTTGTTCTTTCGTCGGCAGCTCGAACAGGCGAGAACGCTCAACTTCGTCGAGCGCTCCTTGAAAACCACTGATTTTTGGCCTTCTTGGGGCGCAGTTGGAGGTTTTTTTGGGGGCCGTTTTGGGTCAATGATGCGTTGTCTTCGTGCCCCCATGGGTCGCCTCGGCGCTTCCTTTGCTATCTGTGGCTCCGCCTGGCTCTGCCTCCTCCTCCGCCTCGTGCAGCTCCCTCTGTGATCGTCCTCCTTATGTGACCATTCTGGGCCAAGCAGCGCGGTTCGATAATCGCAGCCGAATTGCCATTAATCCGACACATTGAAGTGCTAAGGATGGCCATGGCCGCCCGCGTTGTGGCCACCCTGGCGCTTTGCATACAAGTGTGCGTCGCATCCAAGCAACGCGCCTCTGCGCAGGCAGTGGCAAACCCCATCCGCAAGGTTGTGAAGCTCCTGCAGAACATGCAAGAGAAGGTCCAAGCCGAGGGGTCCAAAGAGGAGGACCTATACTCCAAGTTTAAGTGCTATCCGGCTGCCTGCGGCAAACCCCGCCACCATGCCAGCGCACTCTCTGAGATCCGGCCTTCGAATTCTTATTCACACCAGACGTTCTCGCCCTGTTTCGAGAGACGCCGCAGAAGGCTCGGGTCAATGGCTCCCGTCGTGATTTTGCACGATGTTGTGTTTTCCCAACCCTCGTTGTGAATACACGATGTTGTGCACGATGTTGTGTTGCACGATGTGCGTTCGGTTCTCGTTCTGAGTACAGCAGTGTGGTCTGCGTCATCCCCTTTCCCCCTCCTCCGCCTCCTTTTCCTCCGCCCTCCTGCTTTACCTGCCTTCAGAGGACGGTTTTCATTTATTTTTTTGTGTGACAAGTCAGAACTATTTTTGAGCATTTTTGTTCATTTCAATTTTTTCGCTCAAAATCCTCCTGCCTGTTGCCTCCTGGCCTCCCTTGCTCGTGCCTCTCCTGGTGATGGGGCTGCGACTCGCGCAACTGGCGCCAGTTTCCTGGGCTCCTGGGAGTGGAGTCGTACGCGGACCAAGCCGAGGGCTCGCGGATCCGCCACTCTGGTGGCTTTTTGGGAGCTCCAGTGGAACGGCGTGGTGCGCGGTCCCAGCTCGCGGCTCCCCGGGAGGCTGCCTGCTGCGTAATGGTCGCAACTCCTCGCAGCGTGCTCTTCTGCATGGAGCGTTCATGTAAGCAGGCGCCTCGCGTAAAGAATGGGTCGGGTACTACGCCTCGGCAAATATTTCACAATCTCGGATCTCAGGGCAGCGGCGCAGTTGGAATGAGGCTGAGATAAATAGCAGCTCAAGTCAAGTGCCTGGACTGGAATGGCGCGGGTAAACACGCACACGCACAGACACACACACGGACGCACACGCACGCACGTACGCACGCACACACGCACGCACGCACGCACGCACGTATGCACGCATACACGCGCGCATGCACGCACGCACGCACGCACACACAGCCACACACACAGACACACACAAACACAAAGACACAGACACAGACACAGGCACAGGCACTTGCACAGGCACAGGCACAGGCGCAGGCACAGGAACAGGCACAGACACAGACACAGACACACATACAAACACATACACACAGGCACAGACACACACACACACGGACACCCGCACAGGCACAGACATAGACACAGATAGTCACAGACACAGGCACAGTCACAGACACAGGCTCAGGCATAGACGCAGACACAGACACAGACACAGACACGGACTCAGACACAGACACGGGCACAGACACTGACACTTACACTGGCACAGACGTTAACACAGACGCAGGCACAGACACAGACACAGACACAGTCACAAACACCGACATAGGCACAGTCACAGACACTGACACATATACATACACAGCCATATACACAGGCACAGACACAGGGACACACACACACACATACAGACACAGACGCAGGCACAGACACAGACACAGGTAGAGACAGGCACAGACGCAGGCACAGGCACAACGCACAGACACAGACACGGGCACAGGCATGACAGAGACGCATACACTTTTTGATTCGCGGGTCGAGAGCGCACCTCTTCCGGTCGAAGCTAAGCGGGCCGCGCGAAGCTTGAATTAACAAAGAGGGGGGGACAGGAGGAGGGGCCTCACGTCAAGGCCAGGAGGAGGCAAAGCCTCGGGATCAGGCGGTGCCGAAGATGATGTGCTTGCAAAGGAACGCCTTGGACAGGAACCCGGTGGCGAAGTACCGGAGGAAGCAAAATGCTGTGGTTGGTGGTGCCGTCAACGGCTGATCATGTACAAAAGCCTCGAGTGGCGGCGAGAGAGGACGCGCCTTGTACCCAAGCGGCGTCGACCAGAGAGGGTGGAGAGCGTCGCTGAGCCGAAATGCAACGTTGTGCCACCGAACAGGACGCGGGAACGGGAGGCCCAGACCGCGGTTGTTCAGGGTGCCACGGGTCCAGGGTACGGGAGCCGCACTGAGGCGCGGCAGTCAGGACACGCGAGGATCATGCCGCCTATAACGACCGACAGGGTGCCGGTGTGCTGCAGGAGGTGGAACGAGTCCTGTCCTGCAGTGGCGAGCGCGTGGGGCCGGGCCGAAGCCGCTTGCGCCGGGGCGCTGCCGTTGTCCGCGGAGCCCAGGGCCGGGGCGGGGCCGCGCTGTGCCCAGGACCGCGGGGCCGCCGAGGCGGCAAGGTGAAACGGGACCATCGCGTGCGAGCGCCGGGCACCGGGCCGAAGCCGCGCTGTGCCGGCGCGGCCGCCATGCGGGAAGGGGGGGTAGCGAGCGGGGAATGGGGGAAGCGGGCAGGGAGGAGAAAGGTCGGCCAGTCGGGCCAGCCAGCGTCGGTGCAGCCCCGCGACGGCAGCCGGCCGTCCCCGCCAGCTGCCGGAGGCAGGTGGAACCTGCGGACTCAAGGGGGACTAACCGTCCCATTTTCAGGAAGGGGAGGGGGAGGGAGGGGGAGACAGGGCCAACATCGCTTGTGGGCCCAGTCGAAGCTGGGGTATCGGACACTCCCGCTGGGGCTCATCTGGCTGCAGACGTGCCTCGATTTGTGAACCCCTGCCGCCGTCTCAGAAATCGGACCTAGGGTTGACATGCGGTTGCCTACCGACAGAACTCACATCGTGCAGGCACGGTGGCGGACTGCAAGACTGGTGTCGGCGAGCTCGAGTCCCGCGTCGAGGCCGCGGGCAACGCGGCCCCAGAGCTGGAGGCCAGCATCAAGGGATCGGAAGAGAAGCTTGTCCAGACCCAGCAGGCCCTGAAGGGCGCGCAGAAGGAGCGCGCCGATGCCAAGGTTGCGATTGCCTCCGCGGAGTCGATCCGAGAAAAGGACGCCAAGGCCTTTGCCGAGACCAAAGCCGAGCTGGAGGGGTACTTGTCGCAGATCTCCGCCGCGGTGGCGTCTGTGGAGAAAGGGATGGCTGGGAGCTTCCTCCAGGCTCGCTCGTCCGCTGCCGCCTTGCGCAAGATCGTGGAGAAGTCCGACGTCATCGGCGACGACGACAAGGAGTCGAAGAAGAAAATCTCCCATGAACATCAGCTTTCGAATGTCCGCGCGGATCTCTTGGACCGGCGCTGGGCCTTCCCCCCCTGGAGGTGACTCCAGCGCCGCCCCTTGCGCGCTGGGTCCAGCGCCGATCCGAGAAATCGGCGCTGACGTCCGAAAGTTTCTGTCAATGCAGCTGTTTGTTCCTCTGAAGGAGATCCTCGTGTCTTTCCTCTCCGGCGGGGCGTCGTACGCCCCCCAGAGCGGCGAGATCACGGGCATACTTAAGCAGCTTGGGGACGAGTTCGCGAAGTCGTTGAAGGCGGCAGCGGACACGGAGGCGGCGGCCATCAAGGAGCACGAGGCGCTGATCGCCGCACAGAGCAAGGAGATCGAGACCCTGACCGTGTCCATCGAGCAGAAGCTTACCTCAGTCGGGGATTTCAGCGTGTCCATCCAGCAGATGAAGGCCGCAAGGGCGCACTCGAGGGCGCGAAGTTATTCGCGCTTCGCGGTTCGGCTCCGATTTCTCCTCATCCTCCTCTTCTCCCCTGGGAGGCGGCCCGAGAGCGCGAAGTTATTCGCACTTCGCGCTTCGCGCAGCGCGAAGCGCGACGTTGGGTGCCCTTGAGGCCGATTTCGAAGACATCGCCGGCAACCTTTTGGAGGACAAGAAGATGCTCGCTCAGCTGAAGACGGGATGCTCCACGAAGGATGCCGAGTACGAGGCGCGCGTGAAAACTCGCAGCGAGGAGCTCCTTGCCCTGGCAGAGACAATCAAGCTCCTCAACGACGACGACGCCCTAGAGTTGTTTATGCCGAGTGCGTGCGCCGTTCCGCTGTTCCCCCAGAGGCAGCGTTGGCGAGTACCCCTCGGTGCCCTGCGGAGGGGGAGTAGGGATACCATACTTACATACAGTGGAGACCCATGCCAAGAAACACCCTGGTTGCCTCCAGGGTGCCCTGGGTTTCTTGGGTTTCGATGGTTTTGCGATGGAAGGCGTTACGCTCCCACACCAAAAACCAATGGACGTCCTGGGGTCTCAGGGTTTGGTTTCTTGTGGAAGGTTTCTTGTGGACTGGCCTCCAGTGTATTTGGCGGCAGGACACAGAGAACACTCTAGAGAGTAACGATTTAGGGCGACGCTGCACTTCACCATGGTCTGCAATACCGTACGATGCTATAAGACAAGGTACTCGTTCCCTGACATCTTGGAACAGAGAGTGTAGTTTGTCATATGTGTTTTCATGTGCCTCACTGACGTTTGTCCACCCTGCCTGTGACATGATACAATCGGGTGCGATGCCGTATCCCCGCCCTGCAGTTCCAATGTGATTGTCTCGCATGTTTTTTTCTTGAGCACATGCCCATCCCACGTTTAAAATAACGGAATTCAGTGCGAAACCCTTTCTGGCATGGTCATGGTTCATCGTGAAACAATTAATTCTTTGGATGTTGGTTTGATCTATGTTGATAATCCCTGAGAAATAATTCCGTGTGGTCCACGCGCGCGTTTGTTTTTGTAACGCAAGAAACCATTGTTTTTCAACAAGTTCGAGAGCTCTCTCTTCAACCAACCTACGTAAGCTTTTCCGTACCCGCACTTCCGTATCGTCCTCATCATCCTCATATTTACTATCGTCAATCCCACCGCTATCATCAGTTTGGTTTCCTTGTGGAAGTTTTCTTGTGGACTGGCCTCCATGGTATTTTCTGACGGTTTTTCAAATTCTCTTCGAGAATCCGCCTGTGGAAGGGCGTGCCCGACCCAGTGATGGTGCCGTGGCCTGGTGGAGCGCCCCTGGAGGCCGAAGCTGACCCCCCAGGCCGGCCACGCCGCTCTCGTCGGAGCCGCGGATCTCGGGGCGCTGTCCTCGCCCCTGTGATGACGGAGCAGTGGCGAGGCGTCCTGGGCCGCCCAGAGGCCCGCGAAGGAGTGTGCTAAGAATGCGTTCTTCTTTGCGCGAGATCTTCTTAGACCATTTCTGGTTGATATGGTGTTGTTTTAGTATGGATATGTAAACTCATGTGCGTTGGTGTGTGCTAGCAAACACACACAAACATTTTTATATATGTATATACACATGAGCACACAATGTATATATATATATATATATATATATATATATGTATACACATATGTGTATATATACATATATCTATATATACATATCGGTTTCATGCTCTGAGCACACAGTTCTTGTTCTCGGAGCATTCTCTTGGCTCCGGGCACATGTCGTGGCAGGCCTACGGAACTGCCGAGACGGTCGGCCACTGCTCGAGGTGCAGCTCCGTGCGCAGGGCGTGCCCCCGAGGATGGGGCCGGCGGAAGAAGACGCTGCCAGCCCCCAGCGCCAGCCTCCTGCAGGTCCGGGTGCGCGGGGCCGACCTGCGGGCGCGCGCCGTGAGCCTCCTGCAGCGGGCCCACGGCACGGGCCCCCGGCGGGCCCGCCTGGACTTCCTGGTGCCGGAGGGTCGAGTAGGGGATCGGCAGCAGAATTTAGCCTCTCTTGTTGTTGTTAGCTTTATTATTATTCGAAGTATGGGAAGAACAAGAATAAGAACATGAAGAAGCAGGAAACTAATAACAATAAGAGTAATAATAATACGTAACATTAATAATATCAATAATAATAACCATCATACTCATAATAATAATATTATTAATAGTAATACTACTACTACTACTACTACTACTACTACTACTACTACTACTACTAATACTAATAATATTAATAATAATTATAATAATAGTAATAATAGTAGTCGTAGTAGTAGTAGTAGTAGTAGTAGTAGTAGTAGTAGTAGTAGTAGTAGTAATAATAATCATCATAATAGTAATAGGAACAATAAGAAGAAGACTCATAACGCCGTTAACATACACTTTTGGCGCTCCTCGCGGACTTCTTGGATCCGCGCTGGGCCCCCCCGGCGGCGCCTGTGGCGCCGTTCCTGGCGCGCGGAGCGCGCCAGAAGGGGATCCAGCGCAGATCCAGGCCTCCTAGATGGGATCGGAGGATCGCGCCGCATCGCCGATGCATCGCCGATGCGGCTCGATGTGGAGCTCGATTTGCTTCACGTCGGCGTCGCCGATGCGCTGCCCACGTCGACGATGCATCGCCGATGCAGTGCCGATGCATCGCCGATGCATCGCCGATGTATCGGCGATGCGGCGCGATCCCCCGACCCGATCCACTCCAACTCCATCTAGGAGGCCTCTAGAGTAGGAGGTCGACAACATGATTGGTTTACACTACAAATTAAACAATTATTGGACTCTGCGAAAAAGACGTAGAATGTTCGTAGCTCTACGAACATTATCATCGTATTTTCGTAGGTCCGATGGGACAGTAGTTTGGGGGCAAATAAATTTTGTAGTCGATCTCCGGATCGAGAGAGGAGGGGAGTTCTATCGGATATGGCTCGCGGGCGATTTTTCCTCCCAATCCCCGAGGTGTGCCTGAAAAGTTGGGCCGCTCAGGAAAAGGGAGAACATGGTTGGGAGATATCCCCTAAGTGGGCAGGCTATTCGGACGCACCCCTATGGAGGATGGACGCCCCTGCATCCTGCATCGTGTATTCGAGGCTTGGGCCCCAATTTTCTGTTTCACTCGAAAACGCCACGAAGCCTGGGATGGCGGTCTATACATCCCTTCTTCATAGCCAGAGCTCCCGCCCCCGCATGAAGCCCCCGCGTAAGCAGCGGTCTGCACTTCGCCCCCGAACTCCTCCCGTGAACATAGTTTTCTACCCATCGCCCCCGCAGGAAGCCACTCCCGAGCGCGGCGCTCGCGTTTGCCTTTCCAGGCCTGGCTCGGATGTAGCCAGGACCCCGGGTCAGGTCCTGACTCAGATCTGGCCAGGACCCCGGGCAAGGTCAAGTCGGGCGTGTCCCCCTACAGGGGGATTTTCGACGAAAAATAAAGAATACCCACAACATATTCAAAAATTGTAGAAAATGTTCAAAAAGTAGTCCCCGGACTATTTTGTGACTATTTTTGAATATTCCCCCTGTAGAGGGACAGGCCCGACTTCAGGGTAAGGGGGGCCGGTCAGTGAGTGGGCCCCGAAGCCCAAAATTGGGCTGGGGTCGCCGAGCCAGATGTGCCATAGCTCCCCACACGGCAGGTTGGGGTCGTCAGGCTTCAAGAACGGGGCTCGTGAGATTTTAAGGCACCGAGCGTCCCCGGGATTCCTGCCTCGCGACTCTCTGCATACCGCGGCCCCAAGTCCCAGGTCCCCGAGTATCCCCGAAAGTCCCGCCTCGCACCACTCTGCATACCGCGGCGGCCAGATCCCCAGGTCCCCCGAGTGTCCCCGAATGTCCCGCCTCCCGCCGACAAATATTGCCATAACAGAGAGGTAGTATAAAATAGCATAACATAATACAGCACACTACTATAATGTATGACAGAGCAGAGCACAACACTTAACCACCTCACATAACATATCCGAGCATAACATACCATAGCATAACATAGCATACCGTATCATCACAAACAATGACCGAGCAATGCATGCCATAGCACAGCTTCACCGCAACAACAGTTTATAGGACGACAAAGCAACACTACCATAATAACACATCGCACACATGAATCTGCCAACACAGAACATGCCCCAGCCTCACATACCATAGTATATCATGGTTTGCCATACCATGACATACCAAAATACAACACAACACACCATGACATAACACACACAGCATACCATAGTATCCCAGCACAGACAGCATGACACATAGCATGACCGTACCGATGACCACGCATAACAGGCAGAGTGCGGCCTGCTATTGAACCATAGCAGAACGCAGCATAGCACAACACCACACGCTGTGACATACTGGACCACACAAAACAGAACAGCACACCACACCTCATAACACAACACACTCCGCCACCGTGCCTCGAGGCACGAAGCGGAGTGCCCTCAGGTCCTCAAGGGCTCCCTGTTCTCTATGCTCAGTACTGGGGGTTTCCAGTAGTCCAGGGCTTAGTGGGCCTTGGAAACGGCAGGGCCGTTTTTTTACCGGTGCCGTTTTGCCGTTGTTTTGCCGGTTCCGACGCCGTTTCTTTACCGGTTCCGTTGCCGTTTTTTGACTGGCTCCGGCTCCGGTTCCAATCCTGGAGCCGTTTTTTGCCGTTTCCGGTCGCCGTTTTTTTTGCCGTTTCCATTTTCAAGGGACATTTTTGGGAAACGGTGAAAAAACGGTCCTGTTGTTTCCAGGGCCCGCAAAGGTCCAGGGGCTGGAGGCCTAAACTCTCAACTTGTCCCGGCGTTCCCGCGTGCTCTCCCGCGCCCTTGGGGGTTGGGTCGCTTGGATTTTCCACAGGACAGGTCCTCAAGACATGCCAGGAGGGCTTCAAGAAGCTCCCAGGAGGCCTCCAAAGCAGCCCAGGAGCGCTCCAAGACGCCCAAGATGGCCCCAAGACAGCCCCAAGACCGCTCCTCAATGCTCTTCGCCTTCTCGCGTTTTCGGGCTTCCGACGATCCAAGATGGCCCCAGAGGCCCCCAAGACCGCCGCAAGACGGCCCAAGAGGCCCCCCAAAGGGCCCCAAGACGGTCCACAGGGCATCAAAACGGCCCAAGAGGCGGCCAAGATCGCCCAAGAGGGCCACAAGACGGCCCCAAGAGGGGCCCAAGAGGGGAACACGAACCGACAATTCGAGCCATCCGCCCCAAGAGGTCCTCAGGAGGCCCCAGGAGGCCCCCACGAGAGCCCAAGAGGCCCCCTAGAGGCCCCACGTTGCCCTCAAGAGGCTCAGAAAGAGGCCCCCAGAGGCCTCCAAACGGCCCCCAAGAGGCTTCAAAACTGTCTCCGAGAGGCCCCCGAGAGGCCTCCCACGATATACCAACGAACATCCAAGAGGCATCTAACCCACAACCTGGGCACGGTGACGGGATGGGCCGAATGCCATTCGATCTGCCGCCCCCTGCTGGCTTGCCACAGGGGTGCACAGCTTGCCGAATCCCATCCTCATGGTTTTGTTTTTTTGGTCCAAAAGAACTCTCCCCTGGAGCTTCGGCTCTTCCCGCCGGCCCTGCGGAAGACCCGGTTGCAAAGGTTTTTCCTGCCCCAGACGGCTCTAATATGGCCCACATGGCCTCCAAGACGGCCAAGATGGCCCGCAAGTTCGCCCAAGATGGTCCAAGATGGTCTCCAAGACGGCCCGAGAGAGTCCCAGATAGCTCCAAGTCCACCCAGGAAGCCTCCAAGACGGCCCAAGAGGCCTCAAAGACGTCCTCCAGGAAGGCCCGAAGAGGCACAAATCATTGGTTTTGCGGAGGGGGTCGAAGGATTTTGGAGTGGGCTTCTTTTCGGCCTTCCGACGGCCCGAGACCAATAGCCCTCTAAGATCGCCCCACGATCGCTGAAGAGGCCTCCAGATGGCCCCTGAACGTCCCAAGAGGCCCCCAAGATGGATCCAGGAGGGCACAGGACGGCCCAAGATGCCTCCAAGACGCCCAAGATGGCCTCCTAGACGGCCCTGGAGCACCCCAAGCGGGCTCCAAGTCGGCCCAGAGAGGCCCCCAAGACGGCTTCAAAGGGCATCAGACAGGGCAGGCGCCCACGAATACGGCCGAAGATGGTTCTAAGATGGCCCAGGGCCCAAGAGGCCCTCAAGAGTGCCTCCAAGACAGCCCAAGAGGCCTCCAAGAGGACCTCCAGGAGGACCTCCAAGAGCACCTAGGGTGTTCGACGGATTTGGGCATTTGTTTCTTTTCGGCCTTCCGACGACCCGAGACGGCCCAAGAGCCCCCAACGATCGCCTCAAGATCGCCCAAGAGGCACCAGGGGTCCTAGAGGGCCCCAAGACGGCCCAAGATGGCCTCCAAGACGGCCCTGGAGCACCCCAAGAGGGCCCCGAGTCGGCCCAGAGAGGCCCTCAAGACGGCTTCAAACGGCGTCAGACGGGCTAGGCATGCCCTAAGACGGCCAAAGAAGCCCCCGAGAAGCCCCCAAAGCCCCCCACCCAAGAGGCTCAAGGAGGCCCCCAAGATGCCTCCAATAGGCTCCCAGAAAGCTCCCAGGAGGCCCCAGGAGTACCTCCAGAGGCTCCCAAGATGTCCTGTCCTCTTCCTTCTCCTCAGGCTCCTCCTCCTCCTGATCTTCCCGCCATCCTCCCCGAAGTGTTCCCCGAAGGGTTTCCACAAGAGCTGGGGTAACACATGGTCCGACAGCTTGGCAGGGCTCTTGCCACAGCCCTCGACCACATGAGTGATTCCAAAGCTCAGGGGGCGGCGGCGATTCGCCGTAGGCGTCTTCGATAGAGCATACCATAACCCACCATGACATAACATACCATACCATACCATACCATGACACGACATAGCATATCACACCTTGGCACATCATCACATACCATAGCATTCCGTGCAATGACAAATCACCATACCAGGACAGAGCGTGGCATAACACCTTATCTCACAACAAACCAAGCCATGACGCACCACCATACCATAACAACGCACAGCACATCATAGCATGCCAGAGCGTGACATACCAGAACACACCATACAACGCATGCGCTTTCATCCTGGAGCGTACATATCATAACATAGCACCACACACCATAACCAATAAGGACATATCACACCATCCATATGATCGTTAAACCTAGCTACCATATAACTTCACATGCTGACATACCATATCAACACATTCCACATACTCACAACACGCCGTACCATGACCTCTCTCACTACTGATACTCCTACGACATGGAGTTTGCCATTCCAGCATATACTACACCTTCATTGAAGTGAACATTCGCAACAGAGAAGGGCATCGTATACGTTAATGGAGCCAGCATAGCGTACACACCATCACGTAGCAACGCATGACATAGCATGAGCTGACATCCCACAGCATGTTATAGCACGGTGCCAACGGGTAGAATAGCATGCTTTAGAACAGCGAAAACCATCAATGAAGAGGAACGTGACAGTATCAGACGCGACGTGCGCCCCAGGGTCAGACTGGCCATTGGTCCACACAGGCGGAGCAACGACCGATTGGACCACGTATCACTCGCGACAGGCGTCACCACGTCACGCCAGGCTGCCATGACTCTTACTGCTGCGACTATTACGACTACGTCTACTACTACTGATACTATTTCTGGAACTACTACTAGTATTATTACTGGTATTGCCACTCCTACTGGTACTATTGTTATTTCTGGTACTACTATTCTAACTTCTACTACTACTACTGCTACTACTACTACTTTTGCTGCTACTACTAATACTACTGCTACTAATACTACTACTACTACTGCTACTACTATTGCTACTACTAGTGGTAACACTACTATTAACACTACTACTACTACTACTGCTACTGCTACTGCTACTGCTACTGCTACTACTACTACTACTACTACTACTACTGCTAGTACTACTACTACTACTACTACTACTACTACTACTATCAGTACTACTACTACTACTACTACTTCTACTACTACTACTCATCTTACTAAGAGTACCACTACTGCTACTTTCTCTTCTTCTACTACTACTACTCCTACTAGTACCACTACTATTGCTACTACTACGACTAGTACTACTGCTACTGCTGCTGCTGCTGCTACTACTACTAATACTAATACCACCACCACTACTGTTTCTACACTATCACCACTATTACTACTACTACTACTACTACGGTACGTACGTACGTACGCTACTACTACTACTACTACTACTACTACTACTACTACTACTACTACTACTACACTACTACTACTACTACTACTACTACTACTACTACTACTACTACTGACTACGACTACTACTACTACTTACTACTACTACTAACTACTACTACTACTACTACTAGTAGTAGTAGTTAGTAGTAGTTAGTAGTAGTAGTAGTAGAAGTAGTAGTAGTAGTAGTAGTAGTATACTACTACTACTGCTACTGCTGCTGCTGCTGCTACTACTACTACTACTACTACTACTATGATTGCTACAACTACTAATCCTACTCCTCTTCCTCCTATAGTTTCGTTCAGGACATGTCTTGGAGTCTCGCACCTCGCGTTTTGGAGCTTCGTTTTTCGCCCCAAAGCCTGTTTCGGCTGTTTTTCGTCAGGGGTTCTGGAGCTGTTAGAGTTCAGGAGAACGGCAGCTTGCGACCTGGTCAGACGGCCGCACTGGCCGACACAACCAGGCCACGCTCGAATCGTTCCAATGGGCGCCAGCACCGTCGGGATCAAACGCCGAAGGTTTCGGTGAGGATCGCTCGAAGCAAAATGATATTTTTTTCCTCGGGTGGCGACAGTTCAGGTTCGTGGACTGGGGCGGGGGGGGGCGCCCCCTGGTGTACATCACTAAACCAGGCCCCACTAAACACAGGTCCGCCAACGCCCGACTTTTTATATATATATATATATATACATATATATATATATATATATATATATATATATAGGCCTCCCAGATGGGGTCGGAATAGGCGGGGTCGGAGGCTGGCGCCGCATCGCCAATGCCTCGGCGAGATGCGGCTCTATGTGGGGCTCCAACTGGCGTCGCTGGTGCATCGCCGACGTTGCCGATGCATCGGCGATGCATCGGCGAGGCACTGGCGATGCTTCGCTCTCTGATCCATCGAGTCGGAACCCATCTGGCACGCCTCTAAACACGCAGACATGCTCGCGTTTGGACAAAACACGACGGGAGGTTTTCGGCAGGTCTTGGCCTCTGGGGGCCCCTGCCGGGCCTCGGGGAGTGTCATACAATGGTCCAGGATGAGAAGCCGGTCTGGGGGCAAGGGCCGGAATGTCCCGGGATCCCGTATGGAAGAGCTCAGGGCAGTGCTTGGCAACCCCCAAACCGGGTGGTGAGATACCAGGTGGCGACCTGGAATCCCCGAAAGGGTCACCGCTGGGTTTGGGGACGCGGGGTCACCAGGTTTTGTGACTCCTGGACCCACCAGCGTCAGGGAACCGCACGAGTCCCCAAACCGGGTGGTGACACCAAATCGCCCGAGACTCACCGCCAGGTGTTGTCACCACCACGTTTGGGGACTACCAAAGTGCATGTCTGGGAAGCTACCAATATCGTTTCCCTTTCCTCGTTTTCGTGTGTTCGGTTTGCCTCTGGGAGGCCTTCGTCGCCGCGGCTGGGTTCGCCTCGGCATGTTGGCCAGAGCGCGCTCCAGGAGAGATCTGGGGAGTAGCGTTGCGTCGGGCATGTCCCTCTTCAGGAGGAGTATACAATAATCATAAAACATGTTCGGGGGACGATTTATCGTTTTTTTTTGTTGTTTTTGTTATTTTATTTTATTTTATTTGTTGTTCGTTTTTTTGATGGCTCTGCTTCTTTATTGTTCCTCCCAACTCCGTCCGTAGGAGGACATGCCCGACGTCAGAGCAGCGGCACGGGTGCCTTTTTGTTGGTCCTCCCAGGTGCTGGCTCTGCGCGGGAAGAAGGTTGGCTTCGAGAAGATCATCGGCATGATCGATGACATGGTAGCCTCGCTGAAGAAGGAGGGGCTAGACGACGCTGACAAGAAGGAGCACTCAGAGGAGGAAAAGGTATCGAACTCTAAAGCGGGCTGAGGGACGTAAGGAGTGGAAGCGAGCGTGCGCCCGCGGCCGCGTCGGCTCAAGCGGCCGGCCGCCCAAATATGAGTGTGCCTCACCGCGAGGCACACAATCGCTATCGAGACCAAAAAGATCTTCCTACTGCTTGAGATGGCACATCCTCTCCTACTGGGACTATCGTTATTACGGTACAACGGAGCGGGAGCTTGGCTTCGCCTGAGGCGAAGCTGCTGGCTGGGCTTCCCAGCCCCCTTCCAACTACCGATGCCGCTACCCTTCCGCCCGCTGTCCCTGTTTTGGGCTCCGGAGGCCTTCCTCGCCACCACCTGATTCGCCTCGAACTCTGGTCAGAACGCGCCCCGGGCGAGGTCCGGGGAGTAGCGGCATCGGTGCCTTGTGGTTTCCCCAGGAGTACTGCGTGGCGACATTCGATTCCACCGAGGACAAGAAGAAGGAGCTCGAGCATGTCGCATCGGACACCGAGACCGCCATCGCCAGCGCAGAGGAGAACATTGCATTGCTCACAGAAGAGATTGCAGAGGCCGCGAAGAGCATCAAGGCACTCGATGCGTCTGTGACCGAGGCAACAGCCATCCGAAAGGCTGAAAACGAGGACTACAAGACGCTGGTGCAGTCCGATTCTGCCGCGAAAGAGCTCCTGCTGTTTGCGCAGAACAGACTGAATAAATTTTATCCTCATGGCTTCGCCCTGTTCCGCTAGCTTCCTCCACCTGATGGGTTCATGCCTTTGGGACACTCGGTTTGCATTTTTTCTGCGTAGCTTTGGTGGCATCTTGGGCTATTTTCTGAATGCTTCGCGTGCCACGACTGATTACCTTCTGCGTGGTCGAACTCGGAGGCCTCCTGGCGTCCGGGTGCTGTTGAGTTGCTCTCTGCGGGCCTGCTGGCGGTCTCTCCGTGGCCGTCTTGGGCTGGGGGGTTCCTGGGGCCGCTCCGGGCTCCCCCTCGCGGGCCCCTCCTTGGGGCCTCCCGGGCCTTTTTTTGTGGCCTCTTCTGGGACCTCTTCGTGGCATCTTCGTGGCCTCGTTTGGGCCGTCTTCGAGCGTCGTGCCACACCTGCGGCTCCTCGGCAGCGCCCACCCCGCTGGCCGGCCCGCGCGGCGTCCCACGGAGCCCCCCCAGGGGAGGGCCTCGGGAGGTGCCCTTTGGGGGGGCCGCATGCGAGCACGCCGACTGCGGCAGGGGCGCGGGAGCTGACGCCAGGACCTCGAGAGCAGGAAGGTGCGTCACGTTGGGGAGCTTTACGAGGATACACTTCCTCAGCGTTCCAATGACATCGGTGCGCAATGCGAGTCGCGAGTGTTACGTATCCAGCTGCCTGCGGCTAGCGCAACCACAAGGCCAGCGCAGCATCGAAGTGCATGCAGGAGACTCAAGCCGAGGTCACCTGAAAACGGTTTCTAAGCATTACGTTGCTTCTTGGAGGCTTCTTAGCTTATCGGATGCTTATTGGGGGCTTCTTGGGAGCCTCTTGGGTCCGTCTCGAGGGTCTCCAGGAGGAGGAGGAGGAGGAGGAGGAGGAGCAGAAAGAGGAGGAGGAGGAGGAGGAGGAGGAGGAGGAGGAGGAGCAGAAAGAGGAGGAGGAGGAGGAGGAGGAGGAGGAGGAGGAGGAGGAGAGCAGAGCAGGAGGAGGAGCAGGAGGAGGAGGAATAATACGAATAATAATAATAAGAAGAAAAAAAGGAAAATAAGAAGAATAATAAGAGTAATAATAATAATAATAACAATAATAATAATAAGAAGAAAGAAGAAGAGGAAGAAGAGGAGGAGGAGGAGGAGAGAGGAGGAGGAGGAGTAGTAGTAGAGAGGAGGAGGAGGAGGAGGAGGAGGAGGGAAGGAGGAGGCGGGAGAGGGAGGAGGGGGAGGGAGAGGGAGGGGAGAGGAGGGAGGGAGGAGGGAGGAGGGAGGGAGGAGGAGGGAGGAGGGAGGAGAAAGGAGGGAGAGGGAGGAGGGAGGAGGGGAGGAGGAAGGAGGAAGGTGGAGGAGGAGGGGGAGGGGGAGGGGGAGGAAGAGGAGGAAGAGGAGGAGGATGAGGAGGAAGAGGAGGAATAATCATAATAAGAAGACGAGAAATAATACCAATAATAATAATACTAATAATAATATTAATAATAAATAATAATAATTATAATATACTAATAATAATACTAATACTAATAAGAAGAAGGCTACTTATACTACTAATAATAATAATAGTACTAATAATAATGATAATAATACTAATAATACTACTCATAATAATAATAATAATAAAATAGTAACAATAATACGAATAAAAGGGATAATACGAATAATAAGAATACTAATACCACTAATAAGATTATTCAGCTTAATCATATGCAGAACTATAAGACGAATATTCATACTGATGCTATGAATAATAAGCACAATAATATGAATAAGACTACGCATACGAATACTAACACTATTCATACGAAGAGGAGGAGGAGGAGAAGGAGGAGGAGGAGGAGGAGGAGGAGGAGGAGGAGGAGGAGGAGGAGGAGAGGAGGGAAAGAGCAGGAAGAGAGGAAAGGAGGAGGAGGAGGAGGAGAGGAGGAGGAGAGGAGAGGGGAGTAGTGAGTAGAGGAGGAGGAGAGGCGGAGGTTAGAGGAGGAGGAGGCTGAGGGCGAGGCGGAGGCGAGGGGAGGAGGAGGGAGGAGGAGGGACGGGGAGGAGAGGAGGAGGAGTAGAGGAGAAGGGGAGGGAGAGGAGGAGGAGAGAGGAGGAGGAGGGAGGAGGGGGGGAGGGGGGAGGGAGAGGGGGGAGGGGGGAGGGGCGAGGGGGGAGGGGCAAGCTAGGTGCGCTCGCGTCAACATCTGACATCCTACCCCTCCCTCCCATCCCTTCCCATTGAGCTACTTCATTGTCCTCTCACCGAATCGGGCTTCGCATCTGACCCTGTTACCTAAGAGGGAAAGGAGGAGGACGACGGCGCGATGAAAACGAAGACGACGACGACGAAGACGACGACGACGACAACCACGACGACGACGAGACGACGAAGAGGCTAAGGCGAGAGCACAATTGAAAGCACCAGCGATGGAGCCCAGAGCGTAGCATGCCATAGCACTGCAGAGCGTAGCATGTCATAGCATGGCGCAGAAGAGCAATGCTGAGCGTAGTATGTCATAGCATGGGACACGGGACGCATGCGCTGCAGCGGCAGCACGATCTGGAACGACCAGAGGCGCAGAAATGGGACCGACGCTGCAGCGGGAGCGACATGTTGAAGAGCCGAAGAGTGCCGTAGTGCCAAGAAAACAATACGGCAGCACGATTTGGAATGAGCAGAGGCGCAGACATGGGACCAACGCTGCAGCGGGAGCACCATTGTTGAAGAGCCGAAGAACGCCACTGGAGCGGAGCATATCATAGCATGGGGCCGGGGACCGTTGTACTGCAGCGGCAGCACGATTTGGAACGACCAGCGGCGCGGAAAATAGGACGAACGCTGCAGCGGGAGCAACATTCTGAAGGACCGGAAAGACTCGGATTTTCAAAAACATAGATGAAAACCAAACTCCCGGGAATCCTGTGCGGAAAAGGACGCCGCCCAAAAGGGGGGGGGGGCTTTCTGCGGCCCCAAAAATCAACAAATCGACACCGGATGTGTAATCACCTCCAATGTTTTTGCCGGGGATCATTTTCTAGATTTGGGGCTTCTTAAAAAGGATCGAAAACGTCGGCGCTGCAGCGGGAGTACGTTTTGGAACAACGAGAGGCGCAGAAATTGGGCCAGCGCTGCAGCGGGAGCACGATTCGGAACGAGCGGGAGCGCGGAAATGAGGCCAGCGCTGCAGCGGGAACACGATTCGGAAGGAGCGGGAGCCCGAAAATAGGCCAGCGCCTCAGCGAGAGCAGCATTTTAGAAAAAAACACAAGCGAAAACCCAACTCCGGGGAATCCTGTGTGTTAAAAAACAGTACGCGGGGGGGTGCCGAACATCTTCCGGACGCCATCAGGGGAAGTGGGAGAGTAGTATTCATATTGTGTAATTGTGGAGGGGGAGGAGGAGGAGGAGGAGGAGGAGGAGGAGGAGGAGGAGGAGGAGGAGGAGGA